ACACAGGAAGGTGGAACAAAGGGGAAGGGTGTATTTTAAGCAGCATGTATTAATTTATTCATTCATTTAATTATTCAAAACACTTTTATAGTATCTACTCTGTTCCAGTCACTGTTCTGGGAGCTATAACTACAAGTCTAAAAAGACAGTATGTCCCTACTTTCAAGTTTACAATCTAGTGGTGGATGAGGTAGGCAATATACATATGAACAAACAAATAAACAAGGTAGGTGTAGATAGTGATAAGTTCTCCAGAACTCTAAGGATAGCTCCCCTCCACCTTCCAGAAACTAGTAGGGGCCACCAGGTTAGGAGCCATAGATCGTGAGGGGACCCGGTAGTCTGTGAGTTGCCACCAGGATCTTATGTGTGACTGACACATACAGTTTTTCAGTTTTAATATTTTATCATTTTGCTTAAATACGTATCTCATTTAAGTAACAAGTGCCTGGGGTGCTACTTTTAGCAAGTTTATAAAGGGGAAAGTCAACTCATTCTATCTAGAGGAGAGATCTTAAAATAAGTTCTATTTATTTAAGAAAGGAGGTGCATGTTCTTGAACAGAAAATTCTCTGGGCAGCTAGATAGATGAGTACACAGTTACACAGATAATCCTCATCTTAGAACATTATTTTAAAAATGAAAAATTGCTACATCTGTGAAAGTTGAGATTTTGGGGTCACATGATAGAGTAATAGATAAATTCATAGGCAGAATACCAGTGCAATAATTGGAAATACATCCTCAAGACACCTTTTTAAAATTTTTTTTGCAGCAAGGGTATGTATCTCTGTGTTTGTCTTTACTTGTGAAAAATAATCAAAATTTGAACTGCTTTTAATTACACTTGGTAGACTGATTCTCTTTGTATGCAACTTTATATTTAGAGGTAATTACATGGAGGCTTTCCTTTAGAGTTACATATAACTTTCCACCATTCTGTGTTACTCTCTAGAAAAGAGTTCTGGGCATGTGGAGCATTTTAAATTCAGGATTTGTGGAAGATTATATTCTTATACACGACAATCGAAAGACATCCCCAAATTTTCTAATTAACCACAGATCAGTTATATACCAGAAAAAAATGGTATGCCTTAAAGTTAAATTTTGTCAGTAATTTTCACCGGATTCATGAAAAAGATAGATACTAAAATTTTTGGTAGAATGCATGGGGGCAGTAGGTTAAAGACAATCTAAGATTGTGAATTTAGTAGTTACATTTGAGTTCATTGTGTGTTTAATAATTCGTTTTTAATAATTATATGCTTAATAGCTCAACATATTGAATGTAATAATTAGCTCATTGGCAGCATATTGCCTTACCTTTCAAGCCTCAGCCTACTAATCGATTGTTCAGGAAGCATAGTGCACATTATCCTGTCCTGATTCTGTTACTCAAGAACCACACGCAAAGGAGTGAAAGAGAGAGAGCATTGGGATAAATAGCTAATGCATGCAGGGCTTAATATTTAGGTGAGAGGTTGATAGATGCAAACCACCGTGGCACACGCTTACCCATGTAACAAACCTGCACATCCTGCACGTGTACCCTGGAACTTATAAAAATAAAATAAAGAATTCAACAATTATTCACGGTTTGAGAAACATGCTGTCTTCAGTATTTGGTATTTTTTCTATTTCCCCACTCCCTGCCAAAAGTACATTCAGGCACCTCAGAAGCAACCAAGTCACATCTTTTTTCCCTCTAAATTAAATTATCAAGGCAGGTGTCTCATTTCTCTTACTTTGCTTGAGTAGAAAAGGTAACTCAGCCAAAGTGTTGTGTGTGACGTGTCTGGGAAAGCTACATGGGGGAAGCAAACACACCTGTTATGGAAACATCTGTGACTTTCCCCAAGGACAGCAAGAAGCACTCGTGTGTCCGCAACAGATGGTACTCCACCCCCTAACCACAGAGTCATGCCCATCTGTCCAGCATAGCACAATTGCACCCCCCGAATTTGCTCACTTTAGATTATCTGATCCTGTTGGAATAGTAGGCTATGGCATTCCTGTGGGAAAGTGTATTGTGCACCACAGTGGTTCGAACTATGTACTGGAATTTAGTAAGTAAAACCCTGGAATAACCAACTTTACTCATCATATGTCCTAATGACCCCTTTGAATCTCATATACTGTTCTTGTAAAATGGTCCGAGTGGTATTCCTGGAGGGGGTCCATAGACTATATAGTGTATTAGTCTGTTTAAATTGCCTTAACAAAATGCTAAGTAGCTTAAATGACATAAATCTATTTTCTCACTGTTCTGGAGGCTGGAAGTCCAACTTCAGGATTCCAGCATGATGAGATTCTAGTGAGGGTCCTCTTCCTGGCTCCCAGATTACTTCCTTTTACTGTGTCCTCACCTGACAGAGAGACAGAGAGGCAGAGAGAGAGAGAGAGAGAGAGAGAGAGAGAGAGAGAGAGAGAGAAAGAGAGAATCAGTCTCTTCCTTTAATAAACCCACCGGTCCTATTGGCTTAGGGTCCTACCCTAATGACAGTGACCTCATTTAACCTTAATTAGGTTCAATGTTCCATCTCTAAATAAAAGTCCTATCTCCAAATACAGTTACATTGTGGAAAAGTGGTTAGGGCTTCAAATACAAAGTTTTGGGGGGCACAATTCAATCCATAGCATATAGATATGTGAGGATTAAGTGATGAAAAGGTCAATTTTTTTTGAATGCCTACTTAAGAAAAGTCATTTAGGCATTTCATTTTCTTTAACACAAATCACAAGTTTAAAACGTGACTTTGACCCAAGTCACATTTTCTTTAACTCAAAACTCTATAAAAGTTCTTGGTCAAGTATTATCATTCATTGAATCATTTTTCCTTGGTTTAAAACTAGTGAAGGGTGATGGGAGCTTGAGGTGAGTTAGGGAGGAGAAGGGGTGCAATCTTAGCGAGGAAGAGGGAGGAGCATAATGGAAAGAACATTTGGTGCAATACTGGCTGAGTTCTAGCTCAGATTTAATCTAAGTTTTATCAGTCAAATGGAGACTTTGATTACTTTTTTTAAAAAAAATGTTTTATTGTAATTGACAAATAATGTTGTATATTTATGGGGTACAATGGGACTTTTTGATACTTGTATACATTGTGGAATGAGCAAATCAGGTTAAGTAGCATATTCATTTACCCAGTTATTTCATTGTGGTAAGAACAATTAAAGTTCTCTTTAGCTGTTTTGAAATATGTAATACATTGCTATTAACTATAGACACTGTGCTGTGCAATAGAACACCAGAATTATTCCTCCTATCTAACTGAAACTCTGTATCCATAGACCAATGTGTACCCTTTCCCTGTCTAACTTCCCACAGCCAATTGGGTGTATACCTAAAGGAATTTAAATCAGTATTTTAAAGAGATGTTTGCACTCCTGTGTTCATTGCCACATTATTCACAAGAGCCAAGATACGGAATCAACCTAAGTGTCCATTAGCTGATGAATAGATTTTTAAAAAATGTGCTGAATATACAAAATAGAATACTATTTAGCCTTAAAAAAAAAAAACCAGGCAATTCTGCCATTTGCAAACATGGATGAACCTAAGGACATTATGCTAAGTGAAATAAGTCAGGCACAGAGCGACAAATACCATATGATCTCACTTACATGTGGAATCTAAAGAGGTAGAAATTGTGGAATTAGAGAGTGGAATAATAACTGCTTCTTAATGTGTATTTGGAGTTCGAATGACTAAATATACATAAAGTGCTTATATTTGAACATATAAGATGTTATAGATATTTTTTCTCTCCCTAACCCCATCTTTCCTAGTATAATAAAGTTATGCTACAAGTTAGTCACTTATGAATTCCGATTTGAGGGTTCAGTTTGTGACTTTTGCTGGCTCCAAGAAATCAAGACATACTGAGCCACTGCATGAACAGTGTCACTAAGTATAAGAACCTGAGAAGTTCAGCTTCAACAATTCTTGAAGTCTCCCTTGAGTAGAAGGTGAGCGAAGTGTCACAATTGGGCAAGAAGTGAGTTAATTTTGATTGCAACAGTAGGCAGCTATTAAGAGATGACTGTAACTCTGGATGGAAGTTTCTATGGTTTCTGCCTTCAGCCCTGTCATGTTCAACATTCTTTTCAAGACCTAGATCAAAGGAGAAGTTGATGAGCTTAGTATTCAGCTGAGAGAGATGGGCTATGTTGGCTAGAAATTAAGCAATGAGCTCAATCTAGCAAGATGCAAGTTCTGAAGCTGGACTCTTAGAAGCAACTGAGGCTCAAGCATTTCAGTAGGCACTACATTCTGGGTAATTTTAAAAATGTGTATGCTTATCCTCACATCCTTTAAGCTCAGCCAAAATCTACTCTGCAAAGTCATGCTTGAACCCTTGCTTTGAGCTAAGTGTTCTGACAATTCCAACATATACACCTGTAATAAAACTGCTCAAATAATGTTAAAGACTCTTTAAAGCCAGGATCTTTACCGTATTAATTTTCATACTCCCAATGTCTAGTGTAGTGTCTGGCACATAGGGAATTTTCAATAAATTATGGGCTGTTGCTAGAATAAAAATTCAAAAGTAGGCAGTGTTGAGTTGGCAAGCTAATTTCCTAAAAAGTATTAATTGCCTACCCATGTGGACAATAGAAACAACAACAACAAAAATGTCCTGCCAATAACTCAGGCTTTTTGGCTGGTGCCTTGCAGTGCCTTGTAAATATGAGTAAGCATGTTTCCTATTCTAAAGTAGGTTTAAAAAAAAAAAAAAACCTAAAACCTAAACTCATTAACTTCATTTCACCCTCTTGAAGAGCCTGCAGTTCCTTTATATTTATAACCATTAGAGTGAGGCATGTTAAAGAATTCAAATGAGAAATCCTAGTTTCCATCTTTATGTATCTCTTGGGTTTTCCTTTGTTCACCCAGTCACCTGCAAAAATCATCAAATGTTCAAATTTATAGTCTGTGACTTGGTCACCCCGAACCTCTTGGTGGTCTGGAATGAGCCTGAGATGCTCTTATTTAGCACTTGGAGCTCAGTTAGATATTAGTCTTCCTGTAGTGCAATCCTCTGATGCCAGTGAGGAAGGAAATCAGAAACAGGAATCAGACGATTCTGGTCAACCCTCCCAATACAAGGAGAGAGTCACTGACAGAAATGGGTCTGGATACTGACTTTCTCTCTCCTAAGTCCTCTGATGCCAGTTATTAAAATGGGTTACTTCTTAGAGCCATGATGTTGAATAGCACTTCATTGAGATGATGCAGGATTTGGACTCCAAAAGTGTCCCCTCTATCCCCTGTCAGCAGCATGAGCCTCAGGAGGGCAAGAGTCAGCCAGCATAGTGCACACGCCCTCTGTTGAACTCATGTTCTTCCACCCAAGAAACTTGAGGTTTCTGTCATAAGAGCAGTGCCAATCCGCTGAAAATCACTGGGTTGTCTGTTTCCTTGTTTATGACTTCTCCATATAGTTGGTTCTGCTCCAACTTATTTGAAAGGGACATCTGTTGGATGATTTGATGTGATGTCTGTGTTCCCTGAAAGTCATTTCTGACAGGGCGATGTAAAGGAACCTGAGAGGGAGCTCCCTCATGTGATGAGTGACTCTTAAGTGCAGGAACAGATTTGAGAGGATTATCCAAGACAATAACTTCAAGATCAAACTAGGCCATGGAGTTAGCCATACGGCTCTGCAAATTCTTTGCAGCTCAGCCCTCTGGGGTCTCCTGTCACCGTGCTTGCCAATAATGAATTTCACTTCCATGTGGGATCTTTCAGGTCTTCTCGACACACTGAAGCCATATGTGTTTCAGTCACTTCAGACATCATCCTGCTGTTTAACTTGAAGAACAGTCTAAGTCAGTGAGGTTTGCCATGGCATCAGATCTCCTTTTAAACCCACATTGCTTGAATAATAACTATGATTCTGGATAGTTGACTCATGAATATTTCCTGCGAAGGAACAATGAGGGTATTCTGAGGAAATGAAATCCATACAAGTAACTCTGAAACTTTATTCATGTTTGAATACTTTCTAACTTCAAATGTTTTTACCAGACTGGTAACACATAGCAAAATCAACTGATAAGATTGTCTCCTTTTCTTTCTTCCTCTTTCTCTACCTAACACTTCTCTAGTGTGGTACTAACTGAAGAAGGCACAAAGAGTGAGTAGAGGGAAAGAGAAATGAAAAATCAAAGAGCCCTGTACTCTTTTTTTGTAAATTTTCCCTCTCCTGGTAATCCTCCTTCAAAGGCAGTGTCCCTTTTTTAGGCCAAACGAAACTCAGAGGGTGAAGTTGGAAAACCCCGGCAACCCTATGATACATGATAAACCCGTGTAAGAAGGTGGTCCCTTACGAACAGTTGGCTATGAATATCTTCTTTAAAATGGTCTGACACTCGTGGCATAATTATTTTTGTAAGAGTCCTCAGGAAAGTCTGTTTTGAAATACCCCATAACTTAAGACTATGATAGTACCTCACAAAGTTCAATATAAAAATAACCAGGTGGCTTGTGAAGAATACAGGAAGCGAGAGGTGATGCTTCTCTATAGGAAAATGACACTGCAGCCAGCCCCCCTGAGTCCTGAGAAGACTCTAAATACACCACTCTTCCTCCCTGACAACTACCCAAGTCATATCCTGTGAGTGACTGGATTCTAATCTATCAAATAGTTTCTGTACATGAAAAAAATCAATTTTGGAATAAGAGTTGCCAGCAGAAAGATTTCCATTTATTAGGCACCTACCAGGTGCCTGACTCTACTGGGTACATTAAAGATATTCTTTCATTTAGTTCTCACCGGGAGACTTTCAAGGCTTGTTCACATTTTACAGATGAGAGAAATAAGGCGCAAGAAGGTTAAACAAACAATCCAGGTCAACTCAAGTGGAGGGATCTGTGGCCGAGTTCAGGTCTGCCTGTAAACTCCTTGAGGCCAGAACCTTTTCTGTTTTGCTTACTGATGTATCCCAAGTGCCCAGAAGAATGCCTGGCAAATTGTATCTGCTTAGTAAATATTGAATGATCACCTTAATGAGAGAACCCAGCACATGTACTCCTAACCATTATTCTCTACAGTTTCCCCTCAGTCTCCTCACTCCAGTCCATTACCTGCCACTTTCTCTCATCCTGTTTCAATGGAACCCAGAGCAGCAGACGCTGTAGAAAGTTGCATCTCTGTGTACATCCTGCCGAAGGAATGGAGCCATTGTCAGGGCGCTGTCTCATTGAGTCTGAGGCCTTACTTCCTTGCTCTCTCCCTTTCTTCTATCTCCTCCTTCCTCCCACAAAGATTTTCTGAGTCCTTGCTGTGTGCTGAGCACTGGAGACTCACTATGAACAAAGTTGGCATGGTCTCTGTCCTATGCAAATTACTGATTAAATTATAGTTACAGTGAGTGTTTTGACAGAGAGGTAAGGATGATATAGAAACATATAACAAGAGGACTCAGACCTGTTCTTTGAGGTCAGGGAAGACATCCTTGCAAATTTTAACTTTAAGACAAGACATAAAGAATAATTAAGAGTTCCTAATGTATACCTTGGATTTCCTGGAGGCCTCTGCCTAAGACACTTTTAGGGGGTTCAGGAGTTAAAACTGTTTCCCTATAATACTAAGAAGTTATTTGCCTTTTCATTGTTACTGCATTACAAGTGTACAGTGGAGTTTTACAGAAGCTGCATAACATATGATATCACAACAGATTGAATGCAGACGCAGACATGAGAATCCATTTATACTTTAGTAAGCCAGATATTGGTAAGATTTGCAAAAAATGCAAAACAGTGCTACTAGTTTCACTCAAGTATTTTTGGTTTTGGAAAATGTGGCTATGTTTTAATAAAATGTTATTTATGTTAAGGTATAATCAGTTTACTGTGTTGTTTTAAAATGAATTAAATATTTAAACATTTCTTGGTTCTAATTTACAACATAATATAATCTACCTTTTTAAAATGAAAAGATCTTTGGGGTTCTTCATAGTATTTCAGAGCACAAAGGGGCCCTGAGCCCCAAAAGTTTGAGAATTGCTGAGCTAAGAAAAGAGGAGGGAGTGTTCCACAGTGAATAACAGCCTGTGTAAAAGCCCTTCCCTGGTATACAACTTGTAGTTTTGAGGATATTAAAGAAGTCCAATGTGGTTGGAACATAGAAAGTGAGGGAGAGAGAATATAATATGTGGACCAATGGGTAAGCAGTGCCATATTTGAGGGCAGTGACTTAATCTTAAGTCAGTGGGAAGTCACTGAAGGTTTTTAAGCAGGTTGGAATTGATGAGATACATGTTGAAAGAGGAAGGAAAAGGAAAGAAGAAAGGAAAAGAATGGCAGGGAGGACACACAGAGATGGGAGGTCAGTGAGGAGGCATTTGGGGAAAACTTGCTAAGCTATGAGGGAGGGACAGTAGGGTTGGATAAAGAGGATAGATTTAAATAATATTCATGGAGAATCTAGAGGACTTGGGTTTGATTGTCAATAGGGAGTGATTTGTAAAAGAAGGAATGAATGTTCTCATGGTTTTTTAGTCATACCACTTGATTTTAAATTCTAGTGCTACCTAATTCTGTGACTGTGAGCAAATTATTTAAACTCTATAAGCTACAATTTTCTCATCTGTAAAAAAATAGGAATAAGAGCCACAATTTTGTATGGTTGTTGAAGTTATTTTAAAAAGCACACGTATCTAATATAACTGGAATATCGTAATTATTTATTTGTTTCCCTTACCTTCTCTTTAACTTTCTTTCTTACCATTTTAAGATGGAGGGGGAAAGCTGGCAGTGTTCTTCAAGAAACATAAATTCTTGGGAAGGGAGTTTCAACACAATATGCAAAATCTCCTCCTGTGATTCCTGTACACACTGGAAGTGTGCTTTCCTCAAGCACTTGAAGGGAATGTGTTCTCTAGTCTCGTCTCTCTCTCACTCTCTTTTTTTCCTGAGGACTACTGTATCATTTAAGTTCAGTTATTTTTGTCTTATCTGCTCCCTTTTAACTTGAAACTTTGTCCTGTTCTTCTTGTTCCATAGTCTGATTCCTACTATTTTGTTCCTTTGCCTTTGTCTTCCCAAAGTCTTGGGCTAGCCTTCTCTATTTCTCAGCTTTGTCATGCCCTTGACTTTGCAAGATTCTCTTTCCTGGCAACCACCATCTACAGACAAAATATTAACAACTTGGGAGGAGTTAGGACAGAGGCATTACAATTATTATAAAGAAAACCAGGTAGTTCTTATGACTGGGGCCTGAACTACCTCCTGTTATTCTTACGAGTATCTTTTGAAAGGCTGTTCTCAAATGCATTGACTTCAGAATTTAGAGTAATATTCTTTCGAGCTGAAGGGAAAGGAGACAGAGAACTACAAGGTCATAGGACCGTGACAATATGTTGCATTTTGCCAAGTGGCCTTTATTAAATAGCCCAGGAGGTGAGTGGAGGAGAGCATGGGTCTGGCAGTCTGCCGTGGGACAAGGAGCTTTGTCTGCACGCAGGTTCCCAGCTCACAGATGGTCCACATTTGAATAGAGCCCATTGTTTACCACTTGGGTGGAAAACAGAGGAAACAGACAATGAGTCAGGCACCCACTTGTTTCAAAAGGAATTTTTAAAAGAGTTTCAGAGAAATCTAAGAAAAAAATAGAAGTTTGAAGGAAGATGAAGGAGACAAGGACAAAGTGAGCATTGCTGGATGCTAAGGATGTGCTTGTCTTTGCTGACAGCCTATCATTCTGGGTCTGTGGGTTCCAACCCTGAACCTGAATCCAACAGGAAAGATACTTCTGGAGAAGAGCTTCTGCTCTGGGGAGACATTCTGACTAAGATCCAATCTGAAGTAGTTTGGAGTACATTGATTTGCCTCCTTTCTCCATTTAAACGATACTTGCTAAAAATGCCTTCCCCTTCAAAGGGCCTGCAGACCAGAGAGGGGGATTACAGTGTGTATAATTTTTGAAATATGGTAACTGATCAGCAAATGGCATAAACTTAGAATCTTATACAGGTCCTGTTTTCTGTGACACGATTTCCTGATCTGCAGTTGCCCTGACTGACATTCCACTTTCCTACGGCTCCATACTTGGTGTGGAGATGGTCTTTCCATTTTGTCATCTCATTTGGGGAAAAAAGCACGATAGTGGTATGAATGCCACAGAAAGGAAGGAAATGAGTCGGTGTCTATGGCAAAGACTCAACTATGTTCTGCTGAAAGCTCTGGTTTGCAATCCAAACTTGATATATTATCTACTTTTTTAATTTTCAGAAACCTTAATTTTTTCTCCAAATTTGGAAAGAAAGGAATAAAATTCAGATATTACAGAAAAAATCTCAAGGAAGGAAATAAAAACAACCTGTAATCAGATCCCCAGAGTTAACCAACATAGTATAATGTTGTGTATCTTTTGATATACAAAATAGCAGATATGTGTATATATGTATATATAAATAATGGAATAATTTGTACATACTGTTTAGTAACCTAAATTTTTCATCTAAAATTTGTATCACAATTTTTATGATATATCTTATTCTTCCTCAACATAATTTTGGAGGCTGTAAAACATTATTAAATAGTTCTCTATTTTTGAACACTTAGATTAGTTTCAAGGTTTTACTATTAAAATCCTTCTTACTAAAGTTTTCTAACAAATGTTCATTCATTATTCAACAAGTATTTCTTGAGCACCTACTATGTTCAAGATATGAAATTAGGCAGTTTGTCGGGTGCAAAATGATATAACACAAATAGTCTCCTCTTTCAAGGGACTTACTGAAAAGGAATAGATCTCTCCTAAATAATCGTGACTGTTTAGGAAATGAATTTCCTTTTCCTATGGGTTTCATGTCCCTTTATATTCTCTGTAAGTCTGGTTCATACAGCTAACTTTTGTGGCTGGTTTGTTAAAGATTTTGTTAACTTATAAGCTAAATATATAAGTTAGAAAGCACTGAAAATATTATCACAATGATTATAATTGATATACTTTTGTAAAAATAAATAGGAACTGCACAGAGAAATAGTTGAAATTGGACTCCATTATAATCAGAAAATCAGCTTAATAATATTGAGCTCAAAAATTCTAGTCTGCACAGTATAACTGAAGTTGTATTTGGAGAGCAGCAACTCAGATGGTGGTCACAACCTTACTTTATTGGGACAATGAAATATTTTAGTGGAGTCATTGGCATCTCACTCTACTTCTGAAATCAGGGCCACCTCTATTATTACTTTCCCAGTAGAGATGACTGGTTTGCTCATTTGGTTAGCATACAGTTTCCTCTGAAGTCAAGACTGTGGGATTGATTCCATTTGGTTCAGTGATTCTCTGACTACTTCAGGACCACTTCAGGTTGCATTTCTCAATTCTAAACATCGCTGGTAGAAAATCATATCCTTGTTA